AAGGCTCCTGGGGGCGTTTAGGGATGTCTGGCTATGCTGTCATTCACTTCATGCCCACCACCAAGCAACTGAGCTGCCGTGCTGTGACCAAGGGGCCAAACCTCGCACCAGTCACCACCAAAAGTAAATCTCTGCTTTTGCAGTCTTGAAGGCAGCTACAGAGTCTGTGCTACTATGTAGTAAAAGGAAGATAACGATCCGAAAGAGGCTTTAACAGTGAAGATGGTAGTAGCCCCAGGTGAGGGAAGGTTGCAGTCAGCTTATGCTTGGGCTGGCCCAAATTCAGGAAGTCTTTCTTAGGCACTGAAGGCAGCCTCCTCACAGTAATACCAAGAAAAGAGACTCAAAATGCCAGCAGCCCCAGCCATGCAGAAACAGAGGGAAAAGACAATTGGCCTTGGTGCGTACCTTGACAAAGACAATCCCACGAACAGCTTTCAGTATCAACATGACTGCCATAGAGAGCGCATAGATGCCAGCATAGTAGCGCATGTGAGGGTTGTCTTTCATACTGTTGCTCACAACAGTTTCATTTCCCAACGTCACGGTGGTGTTCTGTGGGAAATCCAAGATCCCAGTTACATAGTTGTACAAGAAGAGCAGGCCAAAGGCTCACCGTGCCTGGGGCAATTTAAGGACGCTCTCTGGGGTATATATTTTTAAAAAGACAAGACAGTTTTTTATTTTAAATTTTTGCATGGAAAAAAACCATGGTGAATCTGGAGTGGCAGAGAAATCCAAGTCCTCTCACACACACCCCAAAAGGGAAACTTGCTAGTCTCAAATAGAAACCCAAGATCCTTTTAACTGACTCAATGACATAGCCACTGTCTGCCTACATACCCACCTCAGATACAAATCCATGCCAGCCATGCCCCAGCGCATCTTTACACAAAGCACTGTAGGAACACACGATGACCCCCCCCCCCGGGCTTGAGACAACGACCCTTTTATCTTTACTGCAGCTGCATTTGGGACCGAGTATTGTATCAATAAATTGGGTCTATCAATATGCCCAGATCACTCTCCTTCTACTCAACTAATCCAGTGGTGTTTAACTACTGGTTTAAGATGTTATTTCTACCCAACCACACCTGGGTATGCTTTGGCCCATGGTATTTCACCTGTAGCTCCATCCCCCCCAATCATTGTCAGAAAATGAAGTGACTTTTCATGTTATAGCCTCATCTCAGTCATTAAGCCAGTAGTAATACATAATTAAAATAAAGACCAGTCTTCAAACTTCCATGAAAAGAATGCACCCTAACTCCAACTTTCTTCTGCCTGTAAGTCTCCTGAATTAATCTCTCTGGCTACGTCTACACTGGCCCCTTTTACGAAAGGGGCATGCTAATTTTAAACTTCGTAATAGGGAAATCCGCGGGGGATTTAAATATCCCCCGCGGGATTTAAATAAAGATGTCCACCGCTTTTTTCCGACTTGGGGAAAAGCCGGAAAAAAGCATCTAGACTGGCCCGATCCTCCGGAATAAAGCCCTTTTCCGGAGGATCTCTTATTCCTACTTGGAAGTATTTAAATCCCCCGCGGATTTCCCTATTACGAAGTTTAAAATTAGCATGCCCCTTTCGTAAAAGGGGCCAGTGTAGACGTAGCCAGAGAGATTAATTCAGGAGACTTACAGGCAGAAGAAAGTTGGAGTTAGGGTGCATTCTTTTCATGGAAGTTTGGTTGATACAGCGGGGCTCAATTTATCACATCTAGTCGACTGCTGAATGCTCTCCTGTCAACTCTGGTACTCTGCCAGAATGAGAAGAGTAAGGGGAGCTGATGGAAGAGTTTTTGCTGTCGATCCTGCATGGTGTGGACTCAGGATGTAAGTGACCCAGCACCATCTCTACGAAGGGCAGAGGAGGCAGAGGAGTAGCTGGGACTGGGCACAAGCTGGGAATCAGCTGATGCCCAGCTAGTGCCCAGTCTCAGAGGCAGTGCCTCTTCTTTTTAAATGTATCCAGCTCTTAATACATTTAAAAATCAGAAGCGCAGCGGGGAGGACCCAGTGCGAGCTGGGACAGCTGATTCCTAGCTTGCACTGGGTCCCCACTACTGCACATCAGCCTTTTAAATATATTAAGTGTGCGCTGGCCAGGAGCTAACCCCTCTGTGGCTCCTCTACTTATCGACTAACCGTAGTCGATGGAGAATCCGTCGATTAAACTAAATTGAACATCCCTAGTGTGGACCCTACAGTAAATGGATTTATGCTACTTAATTTGACTTACGCTACTAACAACTCAAATTGCATAACCTAGATCGACCTGTCCCCACACTGAAAACCTGCCTACTAGCTGTATTTGGGGTATTTAAAGTTTCATGTGAAATTTTATCTAGGAACTTTCTGAAAAAAAATCTAGATACTGAGTTGATATGATGTAGTATGTTGTCTTCAAAACTGAACAGCAAACAGATTCTTCCAAAAAAGGAGCAAGAACCCTACAAGTAGGGAAATTAGAATAATTTGAGCCCCCAGCCATCCCTTGAAGTTCTCACCCTAATCCCTAGTAGTTAAAAGAATGTCTTAAATACTGAAGCAGGATTTTGTATTCCTTCCAAAACTCCTTGTTTTTATTAGCTGTTATAATGGTAAATATACTCGTTACCCATATAAACCCTCAAATATTCTCTGAATCTTACTTCAGACTCACATTTCATTTAGAAAGCTAATCACACTGGGCTTTTTTTGCAGCCCCTGGGTACATTAATAATAATCTGTAGAAAGTCTTTGATACTGCTAATGATTTGATTATATGACCTCTAATCTCATTCTCTTTCACATATGGTACTTGATGCTTTACTGACCTTCATCCTTGCCACTTACTTACTCAATTTCAGTCTTCTATTTTTTCCTCATTATTACACAAGCACACAAATCAGGAGCTAACAGCGGGCTGTTAATACTCTCCTTGAACAATACTCTCCTTGAACATGGAGCTATTGTCCCTCAGTAGAAAAGCATTCCTGTCACTCTATAACGGCTGGTGGACTTGTAGGCACCCCCAAACTTGCTACAGCCACTGTAGGGATGTTAGCAAGTAGTCTACTACCCGATAAGCAAAAGCTTATTGAGTAGTCAACTGGAGTCTCAACTACTCGTTCCTCCTGCCCCATGAGAGGCAGCAGGGGGAGGGAGAGCAGGAGCTGGTGCTGGGGGGAGCCAACTTAAAAGCTAGTTCCCCCCCAGCACTGTCTCCGTCGTGCAGCCTGTCCCCCTGGCCAAACGGGGGCTGCTGCTGCCAAGCCACCCCTGCCTGCGGCAGG